CATATCTTGTGCCGAAATGCATTTGTCGAAGTCAAACGTTTGGGCTCCAAGATGGCGGACGAGTCAGCTCCCCTGTTCAATCCTACGCATAGTGATTTTAGATCGTGAATAAGAGAGATTTTCACAAGAAGTTCCCGGCCAGTGACGTGCAGAGAAGTGTACACGGATTTGTACTTATATATTAAGAGTTGTAGTGGGTGCGCGAAATGCAGGAGGCTGCGGCCTCTTGCAAAAGTCAAGACAGTGAGGGGAACTCTACTGACCTCCCTCCCCCCCTAATACCATCCTCTCAGCATGGGAAACTTTGAACAACAATACAATTGTTAATCCTATACCTTCCATCCTTCCCCTCGACATTCCCGGTGATGCAAGCCCTTCTGATGGCCTGGAGGACATCACACTACAGGGCACCATTAACAGACTTTCGGCCTCACTGGCCAAAAAAGCAAAGGGCAGCGGAATAAACTCAGGCATAGCTCGGGCCAAATACGCACGCAAACTATCGCTCGCTGGACTCGCTCTCGCCCATGCGGGAGACGGCAAAACCATTCTCCCAACAGAAGGCAACTTGGATAAGCTATTCAAAGATTTCCGCAAATTAAAGGAATCAAACCAGCGCTCGGAGGCGAATTCGAGGCAAGAGAGTTTCAATATTGCGTCATTTCCAGACCTCAACAGTGGGGGCAACATGGCGAATGAAAAGAACATGGAACATGCAAAGCACACAGACGTGGTCTCCCCCCATGCAGGGGAACTTCCAAAGGGCGCAGCCAATCAAACAACGCTCAATCAGAAGGACGAATCAAAGAGCGACAGGAATACAGCCAACAAAGAAACCACAACAGACTCAGTAATGGAATTTATCATGGACAACGATCCGAAGGCTAACAAGCCCACAAATAATATAGTCAATGTCGCTAAACACCCCAAAGCCGCACAAGGTAAGACACTCGAAACTATTAATATTCCCGCAAATACAGCACAGGATAAATACACAAGTTTGGATTGCCCCCCGTATGTGGTACACATTAAAGATACCAACCCTGTACCCTTACACCCTATACACATAAGCAAAATCGTGTCAGCCATTTTCCCCAAAGGCATGGGGAAGTAACGAAAATAGCTAAAGGACAGGTTGCTATTATCATGAACTCGATACTCGATGCAAACAAACTAGTCGGTAATGCAATCCTCACCAACAAGGGCTTACACGCATTTGTACCTACGTATAGATTGATGAGAATAGGAACGGTTAAAGGCATCCCACAAGACATTGACACGCAAACGATTTCGCAAAACATCAAATCCAGTTCCAGAATCAGAGACATCAACAGACTAAATCGAAGAGTTAAAACAGACAAAGGATATACATACGAACCATCTCGGTCACTCTCGATCAAATTTGCAGGCCAAGCACTTCCAAACCATGTTTACATATACAACATAAAATACACAGTATTCCCTTTCATCCCCAAAGCTAAAATATACTATTCCTGTTATAGAGTGGGACATATTAGCAACTCATGTAAAAGCAAAGCCAGATGTATTTACTGCGGAGAGGATAAGCACGAGGACAAGGACTATGTGTGTCCGTTAAGTACTGGAGACCATACATGCCTTAATTGCAAGGGAAATCATCTCTCTACATCGCATGAATGTCCTACTGTGATCTCATTTAAAAAAGTTTAAGCATTGGCAGCTACCGAAAACATTTCCATGCAGGAAGCCAGAAGAAGGGTCATTTCCATCTTCTTCTTCTTCTTTCCTATGGCTCCCGGCTCAACCGCTGAGCCGACACGGCCACGTTGAACCAATAGTCCTCCAAATTGTAAGTCCCCACTCTATCGCCCTCTCGCGACGTTACACTGAACCGGGCCGCCCATCAAGGCTGGGGCGGGAAATTCAAGGTAGCATTTCAGCGGACTTAAAGGCCGCCAACAGTAATCGGCATAGTTTGTGACAGGGGTCGTGGAGCAAATTAAGGAGGTCAGGGGGGGATCCCAAGGAATCAGCAAATGTGGAACGTAGGTAACTGTTGAGGTTTTGCATTTTCGTACAGAAGGAAGGACAATCAAAAATGACGTGATTCAGGTCTTGTGTATCAAAACCACAAATACAGTTAGGGGAAGAAACAATATTTTTCCTAAAGAGACTATGGTTTAAATTATAATGGTTACTTCTGAGACGATTAATGAGTACCACCAGATCTCTTTTGAGTCTAACCTTGTGAAACCAAGGCTTGGGAGACGTGTTATGGAATTTTTCAAAGTTGAGAGCACCTTTGGAAACAGAACAAATTTTGAAATAGTTCTCGGAGGAATTCCTGAGATCACTTCTGGATTCAGCCAAAAAGTCAGTGTAAGGAAGTAGACATCCAGGGGATACTTCCCCTCCCGTTACAATCGCTCTTTTTGCCAATGCATCCGCCATTTCATTCCCGGGAATGCCTCGGTGAGCCGGAACCCATACCAGATTGACAGTAATTCCCGAGGATTTGAATAGGTATATCTGTTCTCTGATTTTGGAGATGAGAAAGTTTGCAGGGAAAGGATTGAAGGAGCACACGGCCTCTAGGACGCTCTTGGAATCGGAAAAGATCGTGATCCTACAAAACCTACCACCCCTTTCTCGGGCAATATCAAGAGCCGTCATAATGGCCCAAGCCTCCGCCGTAAATATTGAGGCCTCGCGGGGAATCCTCTTGGAGATACCTATGTCGATTTCTGGAGAAAATATTCCTACACCGACCATCGCCCCAGTTTCCGATTTAGATCCATCCGTATAAAAGGTAAGAGCTCCTGCACGATATTCTGCAGAAATCTCCTTGAAGAGCAGCGTCGCTTCACGTTTGCCTAGAGGTGCCGGGATATCTAATCTATGGAAGAGCAAATTATTAATCAAAGATTCATATCTAGTTTCGAAATAGGGAAGGGAGGGGGACCTCCTAATAGATCCGCCGTCTTCCCTACATTTAATGTAAGCCCTGAAGGATGGAAGATTGTCCAAGAGCCATACTCTTTTTATTATGGAGGAAGTAGATTCCGCGATATCCGCTAAAGAATTGATGACCAAACTCTCCGAGTTGGCTACGTTTTTGTAAATGAATCTGGAATTCGAAAAATCCAGTCGGCGCATGAAAGGAGGTTCCCTTGCTTCGTCGAACATGGTGTTAATGGGAGTGGAGAGACGATATCCCATGGCTGTTCTAATCGCTTTATATTGGATTCTATATAGTTTGATTAACCTACTCGAATTGCCTCTAGTGAAGAAAACCTGGTGACCATACTCCATGACACTTCGGAGGGTAGACCTGTACAGGGTAAGAAGAGTGGAAGGATGAGCCCCCCACCAGACCCCCGCAAGAGAGGTGATTACATTGCAGATCGCTCTACATTTGCGGGTGACCCCCTCAATATGAGGACCACCCGATAACCTCGAGTCAAGAATAATGCCCAGGAACCTTGCTTGTTCAACCTGCCGAATAGGTTCGACTCCAAGCAAGACAGGCGAACACGGACTCGCATGTCCACCTCTTGAAAAGTGAATAATCTGAGATTTAGCAGCGGATAGCGATAGACCCAAACCCCCCAGGAAGGAGTCCACCCGATTCACAGCGGAAGACAGCGAATCAATCACCCCTTGCACGTCACTTCCCCCACCCCAAATAACCAAATCATCTGCATATTGCAAAGCCTTAATTCCCGCCGCCAAATTAGCGGGGAGATTCCTTAAGTAAATATTGAATAAAAGAGGGCTGAGAATTGAGTCTTGCGGGGTACCCTTGTAAGAGAAGAAAACGTCGCTCATTTCCCCATCGCACAGAAATTGAATTCTTCTTTTTTTCAATAATTCATAGATGAAATAACTAAGCTTGTCAGGAACCCCTATATCGATGAGCCCTTCGACCAACAGCAAAGGGTCCACATTATCAAATGCCGATACTATATCTAGGAACACCGCGGAAACCTTATCTCCCTTGAGCATAAAATTCTTAACCTCACCAGACAAAATAGAAAGGCTATCACCACATGATCTAGCGCGTCTAAAGCCAAACTGCTCATTTGGGATGATATTATTCGATTCTACATACCACATCAATCTAAGGTATATAATTCTTTCAAGCACCTTTAAATAACAAGAAAGCAGAGAGATGGGCCTAAGGCCCTTACTCCCGCCCTTGGGAATAAGTACCACCATGGCTCTTTTCCATTCTGCGGGGGGCGATCTCTTAAGGAGCAACCCGTTGAATATATCGAGTAAAGCTCTCCTCAAATAAGAAGGGAAGGAACAAATAGTCGGAAAATCTACCTGATCTATTCCCGGAGCCGATTTTCTACCCTCGAGATATTCCAATGCCGATTCAAGTTCCTCCATAGTAAAAGGAGCGTCCAAAAAGTTTGATACGGGTCTCGTGGCCCTACGCCTCCAAGCACCTGCAAGAAATTCTAGGTCAAATCTAGGCTCACAGGAAGCGGGGCAAAGTTTACATTCTGCGGCGAAACGAGCTTCCTCCGCCAACGGGCCTGAGTGGCCCGAGGCGTCCATTTCCTGAGCGATTCTCCTTTTTTTATAAGTGTTACGT